GATGAGAATTAATTGAAATTGAATTGAGATTTTATTTGACACGTGTTCCCTGTGCTAGGAAATAGGTAATAAACAACTCGCTAGAATACGACAAACTTTCGTAATCTCGTTCAAAGTCCAAGACTTGGAGTTTTATTATTTTTAACAATATTATATATGTTCATGTACATCATTTGCGCTTTTAACAAAACGTCATTATAATCACCAACGTATTTTTCAGTTTTCTGAAATTCTCTAAATCTTTCTGTTAGTGCAGTTCTTTTGAAACGCCCTTTTAAGCAATATTGGTTCTTTGGTTCTTTGTCAAAAGCTGATGATATTTTCATACTACTGATAATTCGTTCTAATTTTTTTATTTCAAGTCATTTCAATCAAATTTTTCTTAAATATTGAAATAAAAAAATAAAAAATATACAAATATACAAACTAAGTCATAAACATCCCAACCGCCTCCGCCCAAATAAAACAACAACAACAACAACAACAAAATAATAAAATAAAAACCGATCAATACAATTTTTGACTTCTTTTTTCCTGCTTTAATATTTTAGTTTTGATGTAAAAAAAAAATTTCAGTGCACATGAAAAATGTTAATTTTATTCTTGTCATTCATCAGAACCAGAAGGCATCTTCTTTGTTTCATATGAAATTAAATGATTACAATTATTTCGCAACCAGCATGTTCACGTAATGTAACAACAGCTGTCTCGGAGTTATTTGTTATCTTATGTACCAGATCTCGACACACATTACGAGAAATTAAATGACTCCATACACCCTGGCATTAGATCTCTTATAATGATATATTGTTGTGTGTTTTCATTTTTTTCTTCCTTTCTTTTTCATTTTTTTATTCTATAGACACAGCTGCTACAAAAAGACAACGTTGAAACATCAGTCAATATACCTTTTTATAAATTGATTTTAAAAATATTCAAACATTGAAACGGAACATGTATGACAAATGAAAATGAAATATAATATTTTCAGGTTATTTTACATTGTTGTATATAATGATTTATATTGGACGAGTACATATCTGTTATAACTATTTTTGCCGAGTCCAATATAGGTTTTGCCGCTGTGTAAGAGTCCAATAGATTCAGTATGGTACTAGATAATGTATATTCACACAACCATCGCTTAAATGAATAAACACATCAATTAACTCAAAGAAAACACTTAAAATGACTTGTGTTGTTGTATTTTATTAAATGTATATGTATTTCTAGTACAATATGGGTTTGATATGGAATTTCTGGACTAGAAAAATGAAAACGAGGCTAAATTGATAAAATTTGATCCAGTAATGACTTATATACCACGCTGTAAAAAGCGGGAAATTCATTAGATGTGAAATAAAGTATAATACAGTATAACATAGCATTTAAGCTTCTATTCTGTGACCTCTCGCAAGTAACTACACACGTTACCATTTACGTATTTTGCATGAAATTGTAGTACAATAATGATTCATATCAATTTTTTAAAAAACAAAGTGCAATTTTATCATACACAACTTCTTTTTCGATCACGTTTAGGAGTGTGTTTTTTTTTTCTTAATATAATATTCAAACTTTAAAACAAATGCATGCATGAAATATGTATTGTATAAAGGAGACATAGCTATTCACATTAAGACGTTCCACTTCAACAAAACACCCTTAATGACACAGCTAAAGTCATTCATGACGTAATCTATAGAGAAAAGAATGCACGTATTCTTAGAGAACCTTTTTTATCTTTGACTTGATAAGACATTGCGCACATTAATGCACGCGCTGTGCTGTTCACAATAGACTTTTATGTTGCATGGTGTAGAGTCTTAATTGTTTTTGTTTGTTTTTTAATTTTGTTAAGTATGTCAATTTTGTAAATTGAAGGCAATACATGTCATGTAATACTAGATTTGACACGGTCAATAACAAACACTTGACCTAAATATTGAAAAACGTAATAATGATATACCGAAGGGTAAATAAATGAGATTCCGTAACGTAAATAAATGATAATCGTAACGTAAATAAATAGATAATACATTGTATGTGTACATGTATACTACGTGAATAACGTAAATAAATGACTAATTATAACGTAAATATGATGCACCGTAATGTGAATAATTAATATACCGTTACGTAAAACTTGATTCACCGTACCGAAAATAAATAATCAAGATTCAGCAAAAACAGAAATGAGAACAATTATCATTTAAAGTGGCCACACTCCTCCCTTATTTTCCTGTAACGCCTTACAACAATACATACTTTTCAATTTCCTTAAACGCCTACAACAAGTACAGACGATCAGGAAAAACCACAAAAATAACCTGGCTTATTCATATAAAAATAGTATAACATATGTAATTATTATAGAAAAATAAAGATGTTTACCTCATAAATAAGAGACATTGCAATATATTATTAATAATAATAATAATAATAATAATAATAATAATAATAATAATAATAATAATAATAAATAATGATAATAATAATAATAATATTAATAATAATAATATAATAATAATATAATAATAATAATAATAATAATAATAAAATACATGTATTTGTTTTGTATCGCTTGTTATCAGGAAAGAAATATTTCACTTTCATGAAAACGAAACAGCGGGTGAAGAACATAACATATGATCATACTAAAATCTTCATCATCTAACGTAGAATATTAGTAACTAAAATAATGATACTTTAATAGTGCGTGCATACATTCTTAAACAAATACAACAACATTCAGTGTTTCGTGCTATTTTCGATGATTTAAAGTGTGATATCATGAAAAGTTATTATATTCGATGCATGCATAGGTATAGACAAATAAAAAGGAACATTTTATCAACGTAACGTCATAAAACCACATGTATGTGCACGTACAAATTGTTTCAATAAATAAAACATATAATTCAGAAGGATATACACCGGTAAACAAACAGTTTTATTTCAATACTAACTCTCAGTAAGATGTTGACAAGTTGTTATATTGAATGGGAAACATATATTTGGATATGTCACCAGGTCATTGTATGCATCTTTCTTAATACATGTATCAATGGACATGATAAGATTTGGTGACTGGGGGAAAATGAAGTGTTTAAGTAACAATATTTTGGTCACATATATATTGACTGTTTATATCATAGAAATAATGTCACACACGCATTGACGTCATGAACGTATATGTAAAACATGATTTAACAGTATACGTCACATGATTTAACAGTATATGTCACATGTATTAACAGTTTATGAAACATGAGTACGTTCAGTATATAACACATGGGTACGTACAGTATATGTCATATTAGTACGTACATTATATAACACAAGGGTACGTACAGTATATGACACATGGATACGTACAGTATATGTAATATTAGTATGTACAGTATATAACACAAGGGTACGTACAGTATATGACACATGGGTACGTACAGTATATAACACATGAGTACGTACAGTATATAACACATGAGTACGTACAGTATATGACACATGGGTACGTACAGTATATGTCATATTAGTACGTACATTATATAACACAAGGGTACGTACAGTATATAACACATGAGTACGTACAGTATATGACACATGGGTACGTACAGTATATGACACATGAGTACGTACAGTATATGACACATGGGTAACGTACAGTATATGACACATGGGTACGTACAGTATATGTCATATTAGTATGTACAGTATATAACACAAGGGTACGTACAGTATATAACACATGGGTACGTACAGTATATGACACATGGGTACGTACAGTATATGACACATGGCTACGTACAGTATATGTCATATTAGTACGTACATTATATAACACAAGGTACGTACAGTATAAAACACATGAGTACGTACAGTATATGACACATGGGTACGTACAGTATATGACACATGAGTACGTACAGTATATGACACAAGGGTACGTACAGTATATAACACATGAGTACGTACAGTATATGACACATGAGTACGTACAGTATATGACACATGGGTACGTACAGTATATAACACATGAGTACGTACAGTATATGACAACATGAGTACGTACAGTATATGACACATGGGTACGTACAGTATATGACACCAAGGGTACGTACAGTATATGACACATGAGTACGAACAGTATATAACACATGAGTACGTACAGTATATGACACATGGGTACGTACAGTATATGACACATGGGTACGTACATTATATAACACATTGTACGCACAGTATATGACACAGGGTACGTACAGATATGACACATGGGTACGTACAGTATATAAACACATGAGTACGCTACAGTATATGACACATGGGTACGTACAGTATATGACACATGGGGTACGTACATTATATAACACATGGGTACGTACAGTATATGACACATGGGTACGTACAGTATATGACACATGGTACCGTACAGTATATGACACATGGGTGCGTACATTATATAACACATGGGTACGTACAGTATATGACACATTGGCATGTACAGTTTATGACACATGGGTACATACAGTATATAACACATGGGTACGTACAGTATATGACACATGGGTACGTACAGTATATGACACATAAGTACGTACAGTTTATGACACATAAGTACGTACAGTATATGTCTCATGAGTACGTACAGTATATATCACATTTTCATTGGCATGAAAAAATCAGTTAATAAAAGATAGACTTAATATAATGGTAACAATAAATATTTCCCCTGAAAATATAATATTGACTGCGATTTTAGACTGTCTTGAACTTTCTTGTAATAATGTCATACGATTTTTGAACTTTCTTGTAACAATGTTATATGATTTAAAATAAAACGCAAGTAATCAATTTGTACAGAAATGATCAAACTTTCAAATTTATATTAGTTCACGTTAATCAACATCCGCATCTCCTTAAAATAAGGGAAAATGATTACTTTTGATTAACAGAAAACAAAACTAATTATTATATTAACATAAAAAATAACTTACCATTCTGACAGTTGATTAATAAAATCCATACAGTTATCCAAATGAACTGTGATTTAATCAACATTTTAATGACATAAATCGGTCAATCTCTTTACAGAACTATGTTAATTATCAGCTTATTAATTGATTAGGGATATGATCACTTTAAAGTTACTCCGCCTCAGGAAAGAACTGACATTCAAGTTATCAAAATGCGAAATGCATCGGAAGAGAGTGAAACCTAATTATGAAATGATGTATATTAAATATGTATATAAACCGCGTTTTCATTGGTCCGTGCTGATAGCCGTTCTCAGCGCAATAGTGACAGTACAACGTATTAGCGGTGTAAAATACTGGTAGTCCAATTTAATTTATTAATTACTTATATAATATATTACTCATTCGGCAATTTAGAAATAGAGAAAAACGGATTCCATAAATATATAAAGAATGCCAAAAACGACAAAACTGAAAATTTTGCAGGCTCGATTTGATTGAGCCTGTTCATAGGCAGATGGATCGAGCTATTAATTGAAATTGACAATCACAATGGTAATAAAGAGAACGCAAGAACAAATATGTCAGATCAATACTTTAGCTCATTTTGTTTTAAGGTAGCACAACTATATATAATGAAACTTAAAAATCTGTAATACATGTATCATCCTAATGGAAAAAAATGATTATAACAAATAATAGCACTCAAGCTAAATGGTTGTTTCCACTCAAAATGATTAAAATGAGTATGAAAATGTTACCCTACCGACCCATATAAAACACTTGTTTGACAATGCTACCGCTTATTAAAGTGCCTTAATCAAACTAAAGTTAAATGGGCTTTTTTCAAAGTCTGCCCAAAGTTTCTCATAAGTAAATTGGTTGACCTTGTCAAATATTCAAAGCTTTTACCGCATATAGCGGGTTGTTTTGAATTAACTAGACATTGAAAATGTCAGGCACTATATTGGTTATTAAATATAGCATTTTTTTTTAAATTATCTATAATAATTATATAATAATCATTAATAATTATATAATAATCTTAAATAATTATATACGTACATAAAAGCATTCTCTTTCTGAAAGGATTGAAAATATATAATATTGCATAATTAATTATTTTAACTTTTTATTGTTATGCAACGTTCTTTTAAAGTGACTGCGTTTATACCACGAATTTAATTTGTTTTGCTGCAACGTTGTCATGTTGATCCATTGCTTACCACCGGCTCTTGTTTAAGTGATGTTATATGCAATGTGCTCCTTTGTGAGTCTCATTCTTTATATGAGCTCTAGTGTGAGCGTGTTTTATAAACCTCCCCATGTGTGAGTGTCCTTGTTTGCATGATAACAAGAGTGTGTTTTCTGTGCACGTGCACATATGAGAGTCTTATTGTTTGAGCTCTAGTGTGAGTGTGATATGTTCATGTGCTTATCACAATGTTTGCCTCAGCTCTTGTATATGCTATGTGCACGTGATAATGTGTGAGTCCCATTGTTTGTATGAACTCTTTTTGATGATATTGTCACGTTCTCATGTGCGAGTCTCATTGTTTGCATGAACGCTAGTGTGAGTGTATGATGTACACGTGCTCATGTGTTTCATTGTTTGCTTGTCTACATTGGTTATATGCACGAGCTCATGTGCGAGTTTCATTATTTGCATGAGCTCTAATGAGTGTAACTTGGGTCGTGTTCAACTGTTGTCTCTTTTTCAGTTATGGTGTGCACTAATTATCTGACACCTCACTTCAATACAATTGTCTCTATGCGATTGTTGAATGCACGTGTAACGATGACAAAATCTACACGTGCATGAAAATGCATAGCATAAGTTTTGCGAGGAATATCAAAACGTGACATGAAACAACTATAAAATAAAAATTATCTTATTTAAATGATGATCTGTTACAAAATTTGTAAACAAATTGCGGACGTGGAGTTAAAGATATTACAACCTGGCAACAGTATCAGTGTGAAAGTTCGCAATAACAAAGTAACAATGATAAAATAAAGCCCAAGGATCCATTTCAAAATAATTTATTTGAGTATAATCTCCGTTCGGTTATGTTAGCTTAATAACCAGTACTTAACTAAGCGCCATTGGTCTATTGGTGAATAATTATTAACTGGGATAGCTTTTAACCCCGTGCTTACCGTGCAGTTTTATGAAACAGTGGGCGAGGCTAGTTAATATTAACGATGTGTCTTTTATTATTTTACTTTTGTTCCAATATTCAGTGTAACGTGATATAGTTAAACGAACAAATAAATTCATCATCTTATTCGCTTGATTTATTAAACGTGAAAAGATATTACAAATCTATCCGGAAAATCGTTTATTGCTGTGTCCATTAGCTTTCGAGAATTAATTTGCATACTGAAAGGAAATCTACTACATGTGCTAAGTATTACTATAGTATACCATTATTTCATTTTTTTCATGACCATATAAATAAATGAATGACACCGCTATTTGTTTGTCTGTCTGTCTGTCTTTTTGGATCTCTCACCTCCTCTCTCTCCATTTTTTGCTTTATTGTTATGTTTTATAAATAACTTGATTGAACATCGACGTAAAACTATTGATTTTCTAAAAAACAGATTCGACTCCACTCTGCGAACTAAAATTATGTGTGTTCCTGGCAACGAATGTATATTTGTTTCTTTATCACTGACAGATAAAGGTTGCATAAATGCGAGGTGATTATAGCTGAATGAAGATGCATTTTTTGTAAACTAAAGCATAGTTTATATACAAAATCATGACGACAGTTTATAAACAAAATAGTTTATATTAAGTCAAATAATATGACTATATAATATTGTAAATATGCAAAATAGTTTAAATACACAATTATAACGATAATTTACACTAAAAAACATCATGATTATTTATATAAAATTACGACGTTATTTTGTTGTCAATAATTACAAATGTTGAAATTTGAGACAATACAAATTAGGGATCAACGTCATATTTCAAAATGAAGATCTTGTTGGTAAATATGTTACGTCCACGATGGAAAGGTTAAGTGTACGCAGACGGAAAGTTAGTCAGAACAATAAATCTTGTCTCTTATTGATCGAATCGGGACATTAAAACAATAGCATCTCTGTGATATACATGTATTTCATTCTATTTTTGTATATTATTTTATTATTTTATGCAATCAACAAAATGCTATTAGTATATCAAACTTTGACGCTACAGTTTTTACAGTAGGCATGCCATCAATCACAACTTACCGGCCCTTACCGTCAATCTTTGGATAAGAGTCGATGAGTTCCGACTGGCATGTCATCAGATGCTTGTTTAGATATTTTCCTATAAATTCTGCCAAGAAATGTTAAGTGTCACAATGATGAAATGTCCTATGTCGGAATCATTTATATGTGTCACACATAGAATCTACATCAATAACATAGAAACAGTTATCGGATGGTAGATTGCAGAATGAAACAAAGTAACAGTTTCCTGGTTATGAATAATTGAAAACGCACTATATATGGACATACACATATGTCGTTTAAAAAAAAAGAATAAACATATAATTTGTACATAAAATTTTCCTTATCATTTTTGAATAATTTTATTGAACAGGCAAAAAAAAACCCACTGTAATTAATCACTGATACCACTTTCTTTAAAAGACGATAAAATGAAAAAAAAAAAAAAAAAAAAAAAAAAAAAGCCGTGTCATGACAAAACCAACATAAATGGGTTTGCGACCAGCATGGATCCAGACCAGCCTGCGCATCCGCGCAGTCTGATCTGGATCCATGCTGTTCGCTATCAGTTTCTCTACTTGTTATAGGGTTTGTAAGCGAACAGCATGGATCCTGATCAGACTGCGCGGATGCGCAGGCTGGTCTGGATCCATGTTGATCGCAAACCCATTATGTTGGTTTTGTCATGACACGGCTCATTAATGAAAAAATGTTCCGATGCCGATCAACTTAACCTTTAAATATGGAATAAAAAACTTACCATAACTGGCATTTAGAATTAAAATCCAAAGAATGAATGTTAAAGCTATAAAGTAGTGTGACATGCTCATACTACAATTTATAAAATCATTGTGGTGTCGTCTGCTACCAAGTCAAGAATGTTACTGAAATTGCGCACGCATGACATTATTGGATATAGATGTTTACGCATTGCATGTGGTCAAAATCTGCAGCAGTATCAATATTTTAAAGCTACATGCCTCCAGATGAGTCACAATATCTCAATAAAATAAAACTTGAGAAAACTGTACTAGGATTTTAGGAATAGTAAAAGATTCAAACGATATCAAGTCAAATTTTACATTTATGTGCGATTAATGAAACTATTTCAGTATTTAAAGGCTTATATTTCTTCTTGCGTTACTACGCCCCACGTAAGGGCTTATTTATGTTTATTTTGACCACATTTTTGGTCATAAAAGTGGGCTGTAGGCATCAA